GCATTGGAGGCCCATGTACACCACCATGGACTCCTTGTAGAAAAAAAGCAGGATGTACATCTACTCATACAGAAGTATAATAAATAACCCCCCATGCTAGGGACCCTGCTCTACTTTAATTAAAGTGACTCTCTGTGGTTCCTACATCTACTAGCAGAGCTTTGTTTCAAAGCGGGGAGTTTAGTGATTGAACTGGGGAGCTTATATATGCAGAGCATTTCTTTGAAAGCAAGCTTGAGCCTTCCCAATAACATCCTCTGTAATAGACTCATAATTCTTTGTTTATTTTGAATTTTTCTTCCAACCATAGTTTTGCTTTCTTTTTTTCCAGAACATTTGTTAGATTTACAACAGCAGTGAGGAAGCAGTATCCAGCACAACCAGGCTTTCTGCATACAGTGGTCAGCTGTTTTGAGCAAAACACAAACAAATAAATAAAATCCTTTAAATTAAAATCTATTGGAAGGTTTCCTTGAGGGAGCATAGAAGCGAAAGGTACTCCATCAATCAAGAAGCTCAATAAAGTCACAACTATTACAACCTAGTTAAACATTCCATGATTAAGTTCTTCATTTATTAGAGTCAAAGTTATAAAACAATCAAACCTGTTAAAGGTCTAATGTTGACAGCATAGCAAAATGTCCATAAAATAACAATCCATGTTCAAGAAAGCTATTAAAGATGCAAATAAAACCATTAGGCCACAACCAGTGTTGAAATAAGTGCAGACATTGTGTGTTTTTCTCAATGATCGAAGTAAATCAACGAGTCAAAGCAAAGATCCAGCACACATATGCACGCACAGACAATGGTATAACTTTGGTGAAATTACAATTTAACTAGCCATCTTTTTTCATAATACTTGTCACTGCAATTGAACTATGATGCACTTGGCTATAGAAACAAATTTCTTCCAACATGGAGTTTATATTGCCCTGCTAGAGTACCTGGGAGAGTGTTATAGGGTTACAGGATTTTAAGAATCTACTTTCCAAACGTGTACCACTCTTTTGACTTACAGAGGGGAGCCCCCACTCTGCCACCCCTTCACAGCCAATGAGGAGAGAACAGTGGTGGCTGCTTTTGACCTCAAATGAGCTCACAGGGGTCACAAGGAGGGTGCATTGGTAGGAGGTTAGGATAGGACTGAGTTTGGACACTCTGTCCTGCAGTCCCTCCAGCCCTGTCCCCAACAATGTGACTCCTCTAAGTAGGCTTAGAGGCATGTCTGGAGGGGTCAAATATAAAGAAAAAGTAAAAAGGTGAAAATCATTTCTGTCATTCCTCCTGCTCTGTCAGTAGGTCACACTTTACATGGAAGCCAACAAGAGGCTTCCATCAAGTGGGCAGCAATCCCATAGGACTGTTACCCAAGGGGGTAGCAGAAGTGAAAAAAGATAATAATGGGGATACCAAAAACACATTCTTCAAGAAAAATTAAATTTGAAAACAAACTCACCATACTAAATAAATAAATAAATAAATAAGCATGGAAAGTATTCATCAATCAGTCCAGTATAAAGAAGTAGCTCTTTAGCTTTGCTTAAAAGACTTGTAGAAGAGGGTCAAGAGAAAGTGTTTATTTCAACCATTTTCATCAGCTTTCTCCAACCTGTTGTCCTCCAGATTATTTGGATTACAACATTCAGCATTCCTGACCATTGACTATGCTGGCTGAGACCAATGGGAGCTGAGACCCAAAACATCAGGAGGGTACCAGATGAGGAAAGAGAACATGATCTAAGAAGGCAGCCACAATTGGACAGTGGAATCATAAAACCCTTGCACAACTGGAATAACTTTCCTGAGTATGTAAACTATGCTGCCTAATCTCCTACACATTGTAAAAACACCATGGGCACACCATGGGCTCCTAATCAGTCCTCTATTATATGTTAATTTCTCACTTGTTTCATTTGTTAATTTGATATTAGCATTGTGGCTATCCAGTTTGCCAGTCCATCTCTGACAGCAAATGGTAATTAAATTGAACTAACCATGGATAGCAAAGATGGTGATGTGGTTACAATGGCTGCCCCCCCCCACTGCAAAAAAGAGTAAAATTCACACACAAGAGGATAGCAAGGGACAAGGGGGAACAAGCCTGCAGAATACCCCCAATCTCTTAACCGTAAACAGGAGATTGGTAAATTTTACACCTGCACTAATCCCATAATTTCATTTATTTTTTTAGCCTGACATCACAATGCTGGAACTCTCTCCAGTCTGCACCAGTTGTTGCAGTTTTCGTCTGTGTCCTTTTATCATGAGGAGTTTTTGAAGTCACTATACGGCCATTTTTTAAAAGTAGTATTAGCACTGCAGTTTTCAAGACTAATGATAATAAGGAATTTAAAATGAGAATGTTCCCTGTTCACATTTGCCTCTGTTGTTGTGTTCATCTCTCTCAATCACTTCAGCAGCATGTTCCAAATGTTTTCAGAGAGACCCAGTGGCAACAGGACATATGCAACTATCAACCCCTTCCACATAGTAAAAACTGTTTTTAAACAATACAAGCCCCTAATGGGATTTGTGTCCTGATGCAGTAGTAAAAAGCCCTGAAATGGTTTTATTTTTTTTAATCTACTTTTGCTGCAATCATCTATTAGACTTTTCTCAAGCACTTCAAAGCAATTCTCTGTTGCAATTGTTCTGTTACTATGAACTAAAGATCAGCAGGGTTCAGCACTTCAAAGTAACACAAAGAGAATTATTAATTATTCATTCCCTCTATTTTTAAAAATAACATGGAAGACTAATTACTCTTTCTTTAAACAAACAAGAATTTGCTTTTCTACAATTTCAGCACACCCTGCTTCTAGAATGATAAAGAATTGCGCCTATTTTTCTCACACAGGCTCAGTGCAGACACAGCTCCTAAGCATGGTTACATTGTATGCTGGGGATAAAATGCTCCTTGTTCAGCTCCAAGGTACCCAACAGACAATCCTTATTGGTCAATATAGCACTGCCAATCGCAGGGAATTATCCAAACTATGCAGCAATCTTCCAGAAGTCTTGGTAATAAAGGGCAAATCACCCCTCCAACACAGCTTGTATTAAAATGCAGCAGAGGCTAATTAACTATTAGAGCTCCATAATTGTTTAGCGCTGCAGTCCTATGCACACACTATCCAGATTGGCCCATGGCAGAGGGAGGGGAAGGATTAAATTCCTTCATATGCTCAAAATAGGATCCCTGCATATACTCTGAATAAGTCTGTATATTTAACTTAGTATCTATTTTGGCCCTCAATTAAGTAGTATTCAGAACAGTATTATATTTCAGTGTTCCAATGCTGACATTTTATGCTAATGTACATTAATGTACTTTCTGTCAATGTCTTTTAATTGCTTCTGTCAGTTGTGGACAGGTTGTTGGGTGTTTACTATGTGTGTGTGGTCAGTACTTGTAATCCTCACATTGTAAATGTGGGACAGGGAGTTGGGAGGGCTGAAGCTGACATAGAATGACTATTCCAAGGCCATCTAGTACGGAACCAATCCCACTTTGGGGGGGGGGGTGAGCAAAATTAACCTAGGTAGGTCCCTCGCTTGTCAATAGGTCCCCAGACTTACCTGATGGCAGCTGAGGTGATTAACCATTGCAGTGTCCCACAACGCTCTACAGACAAGCTGTCAAAAGCTCTGTGAGAAAATTAAAATGGTGCCTAGACCCAGCGAGTTCATGCGACTCAGAGGGTTGGCTGGATTTCTTTTAAGGGGTGTGGGGAAGCACAGAGTGAATATCAGCAGTGGGACATAAGGCCCTTCAATTGACTAATGGACACCTTCCCTGGTCTAGGAAATCCATGGGAAAGTTCAACTTTGAACTGGGCACTTTCTGACTCAAAGGACATGGTATTACTGTCTGATGCTAAGCGGATTTACTCTGAAATGGTGCCTGTAAGTTCCATGGGGAAGCCTTCTGAAGAAAATGTGGGGTCTGCAGCCTGACAAGGCTGCAAGTGGGGCTTTTGCCTTAGCCCAGTATTACACTAGCTCCCATAAACAGCTCTGATAAACAGACAAGGGGCCAGGTTTTTATTTTTTATTTTTTAATCACACTGAAAATCCTACTTCACCCCACTCTCAATTTTGTGTAGCTATTGGAAACTCAATAAATGACTGCTGGAAATAGGTTTTTGGCTCAGCACTGAAATACTGTATGAATCTCCGAGGCTAGAATTCGTACCAAGCATTGATTTTCCCATGGAAAGAGGAAATAGCTTCAAGCCTCTCATGACTTATATATCTCCAAAGACTGAGCTCTTTACATTGCTTATTCAAATCATACAGATCTCCAACAGAAAAAAGTCAACTCCCAGTGTTGATGATAAAAGGTTACAAGCTCTTTTTTATTGTAATTAAACCAGCATACTTTGTTGGTGACCTTTCAGAAACACATATTCCCTAAATTATAAATGCAGCATTGATCCACAATAGTTTATTACAAACCTAACAAGCAAATGCTCCTGAGAGTCTTTCCCCACATAAGCACATTCAGGCCTTATCAGTCCATAAAGTACTCACTGACATAAGAAATGCAGAATTTGCATAATCAGCTTGGTTATGTTAGGCAAAGAAGGAAATAATTCTATGTTCTCTTTCTCACTAAAGCTGGATCTGGGCTGTACTACAAGTAGTGACTAATAGGACTGAACCCAAACTTCTCCACAGACAAAAAATCCCCTAAGGTAGAAAGCCAGATGATAGAGAGAAGGGAGCTAGACCTGCTTCATCCCTGATATACTTGCTTTTTTAGTGTGGATGATATTTACTACGAAGGACCATTCATTACAAGGAACCCTTCTGCTCTCTGAAGCAACACAGCCCAGAAGACACTGGTTTACTATCTCAAGGAGAACCCTGATCCAACCAAACCCTGCACATCTTATGTTACTAGTGGAAGCGGCTGTGGAGAAAACTGCTGGACAGAAAACATATTAAGCCAGGCAGCAAGGAAGCCAAGGAGAGATGCATCAACTTATTATTACCTCTGTTCCACAGATTATGTAAATGACCTTTGTTCAAAGGCTGGTTAAGGATCAGCAGGCAAATCTTCAGGTTTCCTGAAAGAGAGATGATACTGGTAATTAATTTTCAATGCCTGATCTTTTCCTACTAGCTCCTTTCTAGTCAATGCACAGCCATATTATTGTGTAGGTTGAGGAGAGAAGGGGTCCCTTTTCATCAAGTTATATAATTACAAAAAAGTAAAAGCAAAATGCCTTCTGAAGATCTTTTACAATTTGCTGATATTCAGTCTAAAACCAGAACAGGGATTCATGGCACTTCTATTCAGCAGGTGTAGGTAAGATCAGTGCTTGTACACAGAAGGAAATAAGAAATGCGTCCAAATCATCAGACTCACACTCTTTTGGTTAATTCAGCCAGGGAGCTGCAAAGTCAGGGGCATTAGCTTTGGGGCATAGCCCTGAGTCCAGGTTTAACAGTCCATCTAGTAAAGCACTATCTGGTACTCCTCCTCCTCTGCCACATGCACGGGAGAATTCAGTATCAACTACAGGCAGAGGGCAGATATGCCATGTGCTGTAGCACGCTCCTGCAAGGTACCCAATATTTTAGATTTCCCAGAATGCCCCAAACATTGTAAAGAGCACACAGCAAGCAAATGTGCTTCTAGTGAGGTACAAGCAGGAACAAAGTCCCTTGATGTAAGGACAAAAATACTGCACAAAAACACACAGGTGCTTCTATCTTCCCCTGTGACCTATTGCAAGGTATTATTAAAGATACACAAATACAACCTGCAACAAACTGCTGACAGGCATCCTCACCCCCTTACAGGTGGGCTTCTCTTCATCGTTCTAGCCAGCCAGCCAGCTAGCCTTATCTCTTCCAGAGTTCTTTAAGGAGAAATTTTAAGATGTTCCAGACCAATGTACCCCAAACCTTTTCAGGCTGCCACCCTGTTTCCTTTTAGTTACTACCCTAGCACCCCCACATTTTTGAAGAAGGTCTATTGCTCTACTGCAAACTTAAAACAACCAATCACCGCCCTGCCTGGATCTTTCCACTGCCCCCCAGCGGGTAACGCCACTCACTCTGGGAATCACTGATCTAGATCATCACCCCAGAAAGCGGCTCCTGAATGTCACTGAAGTTGCTCAGTCATCATGGGACTTTTTAGGGGTCAGGAAAATTGTCCCTTTTGTATGTTTGGGTTTTCAGATTACAATTTTGGGCATCTTGGGATCATCCAAGGATGCCGATACCAATTTTGCGCCAACGTGGCCCCGGTCCTGTTGGAATGTAACCATCTGAGATCACTATTAAAGAGAACCTTTTGTTTGTTGGGTCCCCAAAACATGAGAGGCAGTCTTAGGGATGTCAGCGATATCTGCAATGTATTCTAACAACTTTGAATGTCTATGAATCTAATCTGCATATTCCCCAGCAAACTGGCTTCTCCCACATCCCATGAAGTCCATGGACTTGCTGACCAGTTTTTTTTAACTCTCCCTAATTTCAGGAAAGATTATTGAAGAAAATACAAACAATAAAAAACACCACATGAAAATGCATTCTGCCCCCCCCCCCAAGACTAAAGTGTAAATGCACATTTTGGAGAGAACTGAACTTTTTCAGAAAAGTGTATTTGCATAAAAGTATGCAAACACATTTGCAGAAAATCCAATTCTGTCAGTGGGTAGACAACCGAATGACAGGTATCTGATAATCCACAAGATGTAATCAAAATGAATTTAACTAAGTCTGTACAATCCTAGGCAGACTAAATAAGTAAATAGGTGGTGGTGTAGGAAGAGGAGAGCAACTTCAAAACCAGCTTCAAACAGCAGAATATTGAAATAAATTACATATTTCCTGTAGCTGAAGAAATCCCCCAATTTCCTACTGATATTGGCCACAGGGCTGGATAATGAGAAGAGTATCTTCCTCTGGTTTCACATTCAATAGCTTTTCCAAATGCATGGAGTGAATAAACCATGTGGTATATCAGTTAGAGCATCCTAGACAATCCTATATGTGTCAAACATAAGCTTCAATTCCTATTCATCTATGAAACTCAAATGGCAGAGATGGGCAGGTCACCTCCTCCCAGCCTAACCCAGTTCACAAGGTTGCTATAAAGTGTAAACTGCTGCACTGAAACATTGTGCATTAAAGGTCAGGTACAAGCGCAATAAATGATGCATGGAAGGGCTGCATCTGGGTTGTGTGGCTAGCTCAGACAATAATGAAGGAAAATTTTTTGATATGGATTGACTGCAAGATGGCTATACGAGAGCAGTGGCCACAGGATGGCCACAAAAGAGGACAAATGCAAATCCTGGATGGACAGGTGAAGTATTCCAGCTGAGGAGACTGCATTTGGAATGTTGCACACAGCTCTGGAGGAAACCCTTTCTGAAGGAGGGAGGGAGGGAGAGATTCCAATCTAGGATGGGTACAGAGAAAAAGAACTAAGATGGTCACAAGAATGGAAGTCTACCTCTTGAGCATTGATTAAAAGATGGATGTCAGGGGAGAAAAAGAAACCAAAGGGGAGCATGATAAGGCCAGGGGCAGAAGAAAAATTTCCACTGATACAAGATCAGGGCTGAGCCATAAGAAGCACCTACGAGCTTGAGTAGACTTGGTCCTCCTCCTCCTCTTCCTCCTCATGCAAATTTCCACTCACTTTCCCTTTTTCAGCATGAAGCACATTTAAGATGTTGTATATTGTGCACATCATGAGAAGGAAATAATGCTAGAGAAATTTGAAGGCTGAGGAAAAAAAAGGAACACCAAATATGAGATGAATCAATTCCATAAAGGAAGCCACAGCCTTGAGTTTACAAGATCTTAGCAGGGCTGCCAAGGATAGAAGATTTTGGGGGGCAGGCATTCATAAGGCCACCATTAGCTGAAGAGGGTCTGATGGCAGTAAAGCGTGAGGAATCTGTCCTGTGTGGAAAGCCCATTAGTTTCCGTGGTTTCTGCTTCCTGGACTCTGCTCCGCTTTGCAATGGCCCAAAGTCCAACTTCCAAGCAGAGAGTGGGGGAAACGCTTGGTTGACAGGAATAGCCACTGGTGCACCCACTCACATCCGCTTTTTTGCATCCTGCAGCCACTCCTGCTGGGAAAGGTTGCCAGTTGCACAACAACCATGACATTTGCACCAATGTTCACTTGTTTGCCTTAAAACCAAGTTTAAAACCAGAAGTTGAAGGTGATTTGCACAGTTAAAGCACAGTTAAAGGAGCTTCATGATTAGCATTAATATAAAAGCAGACACAACATTACATGACAATTTTCCTTGCAAGGGCAGAAAAAAGCAAATTCATAAAGGAGAGAGGTTAACAGAGCATATGGGCCCACAGAGTCCTACAGTTATGAGATTAGGAAATGTAATGTCAGCACTGGGCCTATTTCTAAGGAGGAAAGGCAATAGAGGGGGGTTCAATCACACCAGACATTGTAGCCTCCAGGTGTTCTACTCAGATAGTCCCATTGATGCTCTGCAGCTGGAAGACTACCAATCCCCCCCTCCCCACACACAGAGCTTGCTACAGTAAATGCTTTCTGAGTTGCCCAATGATAACACAAAGACAGCTTTGAGGATGTTCTGCATATGAAATTCTTCTGAGACTAGATCTGACCTCCACAACTGCTGAGGTACACAGGGAAAAAAGTTGTTCCCTGAGGTAACCTGTTAGTGTTTTAAGTGTATTTTTTATTTTTTTATTTTTTTTGGAGGAGGGCTTCATTTTTATGATGTGCTTCTCTTGCAGCTTTTGCTAACTGAGCAGATTTAGCCATCTGCAGTATGAGGGGAAAAATAAATCTGAAGTGGAAATGTGAATTCCTCTTTTACATTTCTCCACCACACATTCACACACAGGAACATACACATATGATTTGCTTTTTAAATGCATATTTCAATATAGCTTCTGTTTTTAAAAACATCAACACCAGTTCAGTTTACTCCTATATTTAAAACTTGAGCAATTATCAGAATCTTTAATCACACATTTTCATGCTTGATCTTTGCAGATCCCTGATACTTGTTTAATTATACATCACCATAGATTTTTTTTACTCACTCTTCCATGTATTTCAGCATAAAGTCTAGGACACACAGTACAATAAACAGCAAAAGTGGGTGACTGCTTCTGCTTTCCACAACTTTTTGAAATGTGAAAAGAAAAAAAGTGAATCTTGCCCATGGGAGACATAAAATTCTCATCTAAGAATAATAAGGGTAACCATTATCTCCTTTTGCTCATTATGGAGGGTGAATACATAACCATTTACCACTAGATAACTTAAAGTGGTAGGCATCCAACTACACAGAGGGGAGAGGTTTTCCATAGCCTACATAAACTGTGAAATACCAAGCTGACTGCAGCCCACCTGCCTTGTATTGAGGCCTCCCAGCACCTCAATAAACCTCCCAATTTTGTACTTCACCTGAGACTGAATAAGGTTGAGGGTTGTCAAACCACAAGGCACAAAGCCACAAGGCTTGACAAATGCATCAGGTGCCCTCACACATTGCCAAAAGTAAAAATAAAAATCTTTCACCAAAGTGGACACCATTGTGCATAACACTTGCATTTGCACAGTTATATGCGCAGTTGCCAATTTAGAAAAAAAATAGCTATATGTTAATTAAAAATGCCATTCATCTTGCTATATCACATCTATGTGCTGGCCAGGCTTGCTATACACATGTGAATTATTCATGGGTCACTTCTGGATTACAATTCTTTTACTTTAAATCAGACTTGCACAGCTCAGCTCAACAAATAGTCCTCTGTTGGAAGGTATCCTCTATCTTCTATAAATTAGAACATCTGGCAATCCTGTTGATGGACTGTGTCTGAACTCATTAGTTGGTTTGTTTATTGGTTAGTTGGTTTGCAAACAAACTCATTAGTTTGTTTGCAAATCTGTCTCCTGACATTAAGAAAAGTCTTCTGCACACAACCAAAAATCTGGGGAGCTAGACCAATAGCAACAATATGTGGGCAGACACTGCAGAGAACCTGCTCCTGAGGTGGTTGAATTCCCAGTGCATTCATCAAGAGTCATGTAGCTTTC